CTAATACGATTTGTATCATACACTTAAACTTTCTTTTTCTGTGTTAAGTAATAAGTGCCACCATTTTTTTTTTAGTACAAGGAGGGGCAAAGCCCCAAGAGACAAAGCTAACAGATAGCTTCAACTGCCAGTAACGGCCTCACCCCCACAGGGGGTTCGTGATAGACCATTAGGTTCTCCTCTATGCTGAAATTGTCTTTCGCAAGCCAATCCGCACAACTGTTTTTTCTCCTGTCAATCTTCTCCACCCTGACCATCCAGTACTTGATGTTGTGCACTAAGTGTGTTAGCACGTCTTCTTCCTCAATTGCGTTTATAGCCTCAACTGCAGTAGCTTAATCGCTTTCCACGATGAGGTGTTGAGCTCCACTTTCCCAAGCTAATTGCAATCCCTTGAGGATGGCCCACAGCTCTGCATTCAGGGGGGAGCACCTGCCAATTCTATACGAGAAGCCAGTAACCCACTCACCTTTCTCAGTTCTGATTAATCCTCCACAAGTAGCCACTTTCTGCTTTACCGAGTCGTCCACGTTCATCTTCCACCAGCCCGATGGTGGGTGACTCCATTTAAATGTGCCCTTTCTCGATTCAGGACTGTGGGAGATATGGGGCGTGCACCTAGCCATGGCTGTCTCGATATCACTGATATACCTTGATATAATAAGAGCAGGATTAGGGGCACGACTTTCCTTGGGGTTGTGGATTTCCAGGTTCCTCCAATTCCAAAGGTGCCATATGGTGGTTAGGAAGGTGTCGATCCAACTGAATTGGGCTTTACCTTTCCATCATTTTCCCATATTCCTATTTAACCAATCTTCCAGATTAAGAGCCAATCTTCCAGATTAAGAGCCAATCTTCCAAATTAAGAGTCACGAACTCGCTAGGAATCCTATCATTAAACCATTCCTTCCAAACTTGACGAGCAAGGGGGCAGTCCCTTAGGACATGGATGATATCCTTAATCTTATCAGTACAATTATGACAGAAGGCATTACCTCCCCATCTAGAGGTTCTGTCTTTAGTGAGGAGTTTGTTTTGGAACACAAACCAGGCAAAAGATCTCATTCTAATAGGGCCATGCCAATTCCAAATCGCTTTCCACTTCAGGTTTATAGCAAGAAACTAGAACCCCATAATTTGCATTCTTCACTATTTTCCTGTCTCCCAATTCGTTTCTCCAAATCAGCTTGTCCTTACCTTTAATCCTGTTGGGAGGGGGAATAGCACGGACTGATTGAACAATATCTTCTTGCAGGAATTCTCTTATCCTATTGGTATCCCACTCTCCCGATTCCTTGTTAACCAGCTCCTCGCACCTCAATTGGAGATTGCCTTCGTCTATTGGCCTGCTAGCTAAAAGATGTAGGGGGTATTCCTCGTCCGTCCAGCTATCCTGCCAGAAAAGGGTCTCCTCTCCGTCACCAATATCCCACTGAAGATTATTCAAAAAATCACTCCAAATGCTGCATATTCCTTTCCACAGACCGGAGTCATACGATTGGGCCTTCGCATCTCTCCTCCAGTCCAAGTTTCTACCATATTTTCCTCTTAAGACTTTGACCCACAGCTCCTCCCCACTATTCAGGATTCTCCAAGCTACCTTATAGAGAAAAGCTTCATTGTGGGCTTGGAGGTTTCGGATTCCTAGCCCCCTGCCTCCCTTGGTCTGTAAAGAATTTCCCAAGCTACTAAGTGCGGCTTCCTCTTTTGATTAGAGTCTCCCCACAAGAATGATCTTTGAATTTGCTCCGATTCTTTGCAGATAGAGCTTGGCAGCACCTCGTGTTGCATATGAAAGGAGGGAATTGTGCTTAGAACCGAGGTAGTTAGAGTAGTTCTTCCTGCGAAGGAAAGAGCATTGCACTTCCATCCAGCAAGTTTCTGTCTTACTCTTTGGATAATCCCCTCGAACTTATGTCTTTTACCCCTGCCATTGTGTAGAATGGTCCCAAGATATTTCCCCAAAGAGTCCGCTTTTTTAAAACCACTTGTGCTAGCAATAGACTCCTTAATTTCTGTTTTCGTATTCTTGGAGAAGAATAACACCGTCTTGTCAATGCTAACCTCCTGGCCAGCCATGCTGCAAAATTCTTGCAAACAGCCAAGCATAACGTCAAGTTGCTCCAGGTTGGCTTCTCCAAACAAGACCAAGTCATCAGCAAACATTAGGTGGTAAATGCCAGGGCCATTCCTACCCACTTTCACGGGCTTCCATCTCTTTTTCCTAATTTGCTCAGCTATTAGGTGAGTTAGTTTATCCATACAAAGTACAAAAAGGTAAGGGGAGATGGGATCTCCCTGTCTCACTCCTCTAGAAGGCTGGAAGGTATTCGTTTTGCTCCCATTCCAAAGGATTTTGAAGTTCGTAGAAGAAATGCAGGCTTTGATGACAGCCACCAGATCAACAGGGATGCCTATTTCCTCAAGAACTTTCACTATGAAATTCCAATTTAATCTATCATACGCCTTGACCAAATCGATCTTGATAGACATGGAAGCTCGGTTACCTCTTTTCTTGTTCATCGAGTGAGTAAGTTCCTGAGCGATTATAATGTTGTCCTGAATGTTCCTTCCTGGGACGAAACTAGATTGAAAGGGCGACACTAGTTTCCTCAGAGCAGGCTTCATTTTATTCACTATAATTTTAGTGACAGCTTTATACAGCACATTATATAAGGAGATGGGTCTGAATTGGCCTAAATTCTCAAGAGCCTCCACTATTGGAATTAAGACTAGTAGGGTTTCATTTATCTCTTTTAAATCTTCGGGATTTTTGAACCATCTCCAAATATCTGCCACAATTCTTCCCCCTAATGTCTTCCAATTCTTCTGGTAGAACGCAGCTGGAAACCCATCCAGGCCAGGAGCCTTGAAGCCTCCTATTTGGAAAAAGGCATATTTAATCTCTTCTGCAAAAATAGTACCATTGAGCTTGCTCTTTTCTGATTCTTCAAGCAGCGGCCAGTTGACCAATGTTGTTCTCCACCGTCTTTGCTTGCTGTCATCAGTGAAAAACCTCGTGAAGAAGCTCAAGGCCATCTCTTTAAGCTTGTCTTCTTCCCTGATCCACACACCCGCTTCGTTTCTTAGAGCCTCGATTCTATTTCTTTTCCCTCTCGTGATAGCAAGGGTATGGTAGTATCTGGTATTTCGATCTCCTCCTATGATCCAATCCGTCCTAGCCTTTTGAAACCAGAGTTGTTCTTCCAGGTTAAGAACTTCCTCCAATTCCTTATGCAACACAGATTCCAAATCCTCCAAATAATTGCTCGCCCTCCATTCCAGGCTCCTTTGGATGTCGTTAAGCCTTCTGAGGATCACATTCTTTCTCTGCCCAATAATGCCAAAAGTATTAGTGTTCCAATTCCTTAGGAGCGGTATAAGTTGTTGCAGGTTGTTAAAGGTATTAACCTCGTTACACCAGTGCTCCGCCACCAATGGCTTAAAGGAAGGATGCTCCAGCCAAGAAGGGAACAATCTGAAAGGGCGATCTTCCCACCCCTCCAAATCAGCAAAGAGGTTGATTAGAAGAGGGTTATGATCAGAGTAAACTCTAGGAAGCGTCCTGACACGAGCACTATCGAACCTGGTTTGCCAAGCTTCGTTCCCCATGGCCCTGTCAAGTCGTTTGAAAACTCTATCCAAGTGCGCAAATTTTGGACCCTTCCATGTGAAGAACGGACCAGCAGCCCCTAAGTCAATAAGCTTGCAATCATCTATCAATTCTGCGAAAGCAGTGCATCTGGATAGGTCAGCGTTGGCTCCTCCTCTGTTCTCGTGCGCTCCCATAATTTCATTGAAGTCTCCAGCCGTAAGCCACGGATCTCTGTTGCTATTGCTAAACTCTCGAAGCTCTTCCCATAGTAATCGTCTTTGCTCCAGTTGGGGACTAGCGTAGATGGCAGAGAAAATGAAAGGCTCCTGATTGGCCCAGTTAATTTTCAAGTGTACCACTTGAGTGCTACAGTCCAACATGTCAATTGTGAAATTGGGCTGATTCCACAAAGCCCATATTCCCCCAGCAAATCCTCTAGCCTCCTCCACCAGATAATTAGCAAAACCTAGTCTTTTTATTACCTTTTGGGCCTTGGGCCCGCTAACTTTGGTTTCTAACAGGATTACCAGGTCAACCTTATGCTTCCTGACAAAAGTCATTAGGATACTTCTGAGTCTACCCTTCCCAGCTCCCCTACAATTCTAGATGAGGATATTCATTAACACTTTCTGCTTTTCGGCTCCCGTTCGGCTCGCCCTCACCTTCCTCCTCTGCTTTCCCATGGATTGAGGTCTTAACATTTCCACTTTTTCCATTTGTCTTAGTCTCCCTTTCTTCTTCCCTGACTAGCAACGTTCCTCCCTTGGCCAAGGGCAGAAAGCCGTCAGTTTCTCCTCTCTTAAGGATCCTAGATGGTTGTTTTTCTTGTTTGTTTTTTCTTCGATTGGTAGCTAGACTGGATGTTATTACTTCATCTAGCATAGTATCATTCTGCTCCTTAGACATGTATCTCATAATCTGGAGCATTTCACTTTCTTCTCTCCTCTTTTCCACCCTACGGCCACCAACCCCTGGGTCCATGTTTGGATCCTTGTTTTCTAGCTCAGTGACTTTCACCATCGAAAGATCTACTGATTTGATGGGAGGCCTTCTGGAACAACCCGCCCCAGTACTCTCTTTTTCCTTTGCTCTGCCTAAGGGCCCTTTTCTGTCTTTCCTTTGAAAGCATGATTGCCTTCTGCTTCTTTATTTTGAAGTTTGAGCCCTTTAGTTGTTGACTTCTCCTCCTTATTCGCACCTGTCTTGTTCCTCGAGCTACGTGTCTTGTTATCTGTCTTTGTCACATTAATGTCCTTGCTTATGATCCATGTCACCTTGTTGGTTCCCGCGTTCCCTGCTACGCCGTCCCCATCAGTGTGAGCTTCAGCCCCAATGTTCCCTTCCTCTTTTCGATCCCTAGCCACCGGTGGTTTGAATGGCTCTTTTTTCGGCCCGGTGGTCGTTGCTAAAGTCCTTCTGCCTCTAACCTTCCTCTTAACCACCATCCAAGCCCAAAGGCTTCCTCTGGTTCTTTTCTGCAGTCATCTCTCTCATTCTTCTCAGCTGGATTGACTATTTCCTGCATCTTCATTGCCTGGACTTCCTTAGCATCCACCCCTCCGTCACAAGCTTCCATTCGGTGCCCATACCTCCCACACCTGAAGCAAATAAGGTGTAGACCTTCATATGCAACAGAGAACGTCCTTTCAAACACTTGAAATTTTGAGATGATGATTTTCCTTAAATCGATTTCTACACAAATTCTGGCATATTTGGCTTTTTCTGTGTATTCACCTTCTCCCCCGTCTGATTTCCTTAAGGAGTTACTATCAATTTTCAAAGTTCTCCCAAATATGTTCCCAATCCTCCACAGATGCTGAGAAGTATAGAGCTCCATTGGAAGATCTGGGATTCTAATCCATACAACAAGTTTTTTGAATTGATCATCATGAGGATCAAACATTGGTCTCCATCGCTGGACAGTCACATAGTGTTCTACCACTATCCACGGACCATCATGTATGACGTGGAAGTAGTTTTTAGTTTCGTGGAAATTGACTAAGATGTAGCAATTGTCCAAATCGATAACTTCAAACTTTCTTGTGAAGCACCACTGTCTAAGTAATCTGGCCATCAAGAATCTGTTGTTGATCTTTTTTCCCAGGAGCTTGATTATTAGAGCGGCTCTCCATTTCTTGCAGTCTTTCTTATGTTGTCTCCACACTGGACACAATGGGTCAGCCTATGGACCATTATCCTCCTCGTCTATATCCGTGTCTTCCTCCTCTTCTTTTCTCTGAATCTCCATCCAGTTCTCCTCGTCACTATCCAGATCATTCTTAGCTCCATTCAGTTGAAGCACCACATCCTTATAGGTTACCGTTCTTTTGCCTGCTGAAGTTTCGTCCTTTTCCTTTCTGGATATTCCCAAGCAGATGTCCTCATTCCTCTTCTCTTCTGTCACTCTCTCAACCGTCTCATCGTCCATTTGTGCATCTTCCATCTCGTTTTCTTTTGCTTTTTTAATGCTTCTCTCGAGAAGGTTCCTTTCTATTGCCACTCACCAGCTCCATCTGTTGGGAGAATTTCTTGAACGGGAACGTGCGCTAGGTTTTAGACCTAGGGAAGACTCAAATTTCATGTGCCACCATTTTACTTGGGTCTTTCACGTCCCCTACAGCAAACCTAAACGAGTACTGAGGGTACATTCCACATATTGTATGGGTAAGATTCTTGTATCATAGACATTATACAATGATCCATATCCCAGCTGTAAAAACAAGTACCTGAGTCTTGGAATATTTTCTCAATCCATTTATAACATGGGGATGTAATTCCAAGATTAACAATTCATTTTTGAAACCCCTATAAAACAATTTAAGTTCTTGCAAGCACAAGTTTAAAAAATAGCTAGGTCACAATAATTATTAAACAATAAATAGCAAATAACAGCGTTTCAAAAGGAGTTGGAAACAGTTATCACTTTCTCTGTAAATTCTGTTGGAAAAAAATAATACATCATTTTTCTGTGTTGCATTAACATTATTCAGGACCAAAAATTGCTATTTTCAATTCGGTGGGTGCAAAACAATGTTGATAAAAATAGTTAGAAAAGAATATACGAGATAGATTTCATTTGGGAAATCAGTAACTGAATGAATCAATCTAAAGCACCAATCACTGCATCGACAACCTCTTGGGTGGTGCTTGTCCCTCCAAGATCCTTTGTCCGATATTTGCCCTCTAGAATGACTTGTTCCACTGCAGTTTCCAAACGGTCAGCAAATGCAGGAAACTGGAGATGCCTAAGCATCATAGCTGATGAGAGAAGAAGCGCCACTGGGTTGGCTGACTTTTGTTGCGCTATTTTCTCACTACCAACATTACCTGCTGAAGCACCTTGCTCAAACACAGCATGCTCAGCCCCAACATTACCTGCAAAAAATGTCATCCAGGGTTTGTAATTGTTGTCGAGCAATAATTTGAAGACAGAAAATGATTTTTATCAATAATCACTTCTACGCAGAAGTCCTTCCACAACCCCCAACAACCAGATTTATCTCACTATTTTAGATCTTTATGCTAATCCTCACTACAACAGAGCAACCATCTCAATCCTAACATACGAGTACTGCCATTGCCACCATCACAACCACTGACATCTCCATTTCACTGATATTGCTACAGCTGCTTCTGTTGTCATTAGTACCTACGACTCCATTACCCCAAGAATGAGTCAATGAAAGCTGTCATCTCCCGTACTTCCCGATATTACAGTAGAAAAGTAAACTTCCAGCTTAATTTAAGTCTAGTATGATCAAACAGTCTAATTCAATAACATGCGTTAATCTGCAAAGTTTTGAATATGTAAAAAAGCTCCCAGAATAATCATCTAGATAAACTCTGTGCCTAGTCTTTCATGTTCTGAACATCTGATAATGACATGGTAGATGCGAGTGTGGAAGCATGTAAAAAGCAAAAACGCAACGTAATCAGATGAGAGCTCTAAAGTTGCAATACAGTAGTAACTAACAATCGTACCTCCTGGCATGACTCCAGTTCCTCCAGCAATGCCCGCTGCAGTATTTGCAACTAGATTTCCATAAAGATTGGGGGTAACCTAGCAAGAGGAAACAATATACATGAACTTCAAAAAAAATTCTATTTGACTAAAAATCACAAACAAATTACAAAGACCAGTGAGTTGCAAGATAGAACTATCAGGATCAGAAGTTAATGAGCAACCCCCTGCAATGTTCTCGTGCGACCAACAGAAAAGAAAGGCAAAATTTATATATCCCTTCAAATATTCAAAAAAGTACACCTACATCTCACTAGTTATGTTTGGATGGAGAATTTTTGGGAGGAAGGGACCAAAGGATTTTGTAATTTAATATTCCGAACATTATAAAATGATTAAAAAAATGAATAGGGGACGATTGGAATGCTACATGATAATCTCTCATTTAACAAAATTAGAAAATTTCCTGTCCCCTCTCTTCCCTCCAAACGTACCCTGAATTACTTCACCTTAATATATCCTTTGATTACACCAACAGTGAAAAGCCTATACCAAAACTGGAACATGATTTATCATAAGCAAGATGCCTTTTGTTATAAATTTCCACTGTATTTTCTGCCACTACACATTTCTCAGCTGATTTCTCTTGTAGAAGTTATTTATTAAAGAGGAATAAAAGGGGAAACTCAAAGCACCAGTTCTCAAAAGAAAATGAAAAAAAATATGACAAAACACCAATGTGCTCAGAGTTTTAAGTAAAGATTTGTTTTGTCACCAATAATCTGATGGCACTAAGTTAAAAGAACCTTGCAAAACAAAAAAAGTATAGACCTCTACATTTAATCCATAAATATATTAAACAAAAGTGGATAAATAGTTGTTAATCAGGATTTAATTGTAAAATTATATACCATGACATCAAACTGCTCAGGCTTTGAAACAAGCTGCATGCAGCAGTTATCTACAATAATTTCGTTATACTTAATTCCAGGATACTTTGTGGCAACCTCTCGACACGATTCCAAGAATAAACCATCTGCAAGCTTCATAATATTTGCTTTGTGCACAGCAGTCACGTTCTTTCTGTTATTCAGGTAAGCATACTCAAATGCATATTTAGCAATACGCTCCGAACAGAACTTCGTTATTACCTAGCAAAATATTAGGATGAACCACAAACATAAACCCATACTGCATCAGTATCAATGTGATAACTTCATGAGATATATACATTAAAGATTATAGGGGAAAAAAAACTAGATAGATATTCCAAGGGAAAATAACTTTACCATAAAATGAATAGCTCTCAAGAAATCAGAAAACTCTGGAATATGTTAACTAAAACAATCTTTAGAGTTCATTTGATTTGCTAAAAGATAAGGGACATCACAACACACAGATACAAAATATATAAATATAGGACTTATCGTTTCTCAAGTTGCTTGAGATAACTTTATCTCCGACTATTAAATCATAACCATACAAAGATGGATCAATGGTGATAAAGGAAGAGAGAGAAAAATGGAATAATAACCATTCAAAGATGAATCAATTAATATAAAGAAATAAATAAACAAAACGACATAGTTTTTGAGTGACCGGAGATAAATATTTCTCAAGCAACTTGAGAAATATTTTTCTCAAATATATATATATAGGGGGGAGAGATCATTTGACTCCAGAGTAAGATTTATAAGTCTTACTCTCCATTCTAACCATTGATTTCCGTCCATCCAATGATTATAGTTTAGGAAGTTATAATAACTAATTACTTATTAATTACACTATAAATGACAACCGTTGATTTCTGTCTATCAATGGCTGAGATGGGGAGTAAGACTTAAAAATCTTACTCTTGAGTCAAAAGAACCCTCCCTATATATATATATATATATATATATATATATATATATATATATACACACACACAAATTGTTTGATTATTAAAATAGTATATGTATTCAACAAAAAGTAACTCAACGGACAATAACCCTACCCCTTCATTATCACAACTCTATTGCACGCAAACAATGCCCAAAACAAAAGGTATTATAACAAGTTTTTCTATATTCTATTCATGAATGTCACAAATTTTTAGTTGTGTGCGCTGATCATCAATCAGATAACAGCAGAAAAAATTGTCCAGTGACTAAGGCGTTTTTGCTGTAATATTCTGTTGGTATTGTCCCTTAATATGCATCAAACTTAACCTTAGAGTAATGGAATACAACTTCACCATAAAATCTAAACAGATATTCCAAGGGAAAATATCTTTACCCATTAAATGAATAGCCCTCTAGAAATCTGAAAATGCTGGAATATGTTCACTAAAACAATCTTTGGGGTTCATTTGATTTGCTAAAGACTAAGGAACAGAACAGCACAAAAATAAAATTGTACTTAATTTAATTGTTAAAATAGTATATGCAATGGAAAAAAAACAACCCAAGGGACAGTATAAATCTCTAAATATTTGCTACCCACTTAACCAAGTTACATAATCTTGTCACCAATAACCCTTGCCCCTTTATTTTCCCAACTCTATTATTGCACACAAAACAAAGCTCAACATAAAGGGTATTATAACCAATTTTTCTTTATTCAATTCATGGATATCACAAATTTTTTAATCATATGCATTGGGCATCATAAAGCTAACAGCAAAAGCACAAAAAATAATGACTCAGCCATTTCTGCTGTAATATTCTGTTTGTAGTGTCCCTCCATATGCAATAAACTTAACCTTAGAGTAAGAACTAGATGCAGCAACATGTACACACACCAAAAAGAATAATATATATATATATATAAAAGCCATTGTCAATTAATAAAAGAGTAAATACCATTTTTGGTCCTCAGCAAATTTCACCATGCCCACTTTAGTCCCTAGCAAATGAAAATGCGTGATCCTCAAGAAATTCAAAATGGGCCTATTTAGTTGAAATTGTAGTCCCTCACAAATTCAAAAAAATCCCTATTAGTCCTCAAAAAGACTAAAATGGATCTATTTTGAATTTTTTAAGACCTCGATGAGCTTTTTTATTTGCTAGGGACTAAAGCGGATATCGTGACATTTGTTGAGGATCAAAAATAGTATTTACTCTTGATAAAATCATTACATTTTTTCCTTTTGTTATCATTTTTAATCAAACACATATCGCACAGAACCACAGATAATTAGAAAATACAATAAACATGATAACATATAAAAACTGACACTGGAAGGAAGTCGAACAGTACCTTAAGGCTTTCAACGACGCCAGGAACAACCTCGTGTTCAAGGCCAGCGTACTCTCCTTCGGTGTTCTCCCTAATGACGACAATGTCAACGTTGTCGTGGCGCGTGGGCAAGCCAGGGAGGTTGAAGCAATTAACCAGGGAAGCGTAGAGATCAAGCTCCTTCCTCAACTGCACGTTGAGGGAGCTCACGCCACCGCCCATCGGGGTGGCGAGACCGCCCTTCAGGCACACCTTATTCTTCCGTATTGACTCGATCACCTCCGTCGGCACCGCATTCATCTTGCCGTGAACCTCGAACTTCTCGAAGTACACCGGCGCGTGCATCGCCTCCATCACCTGCTCCACAGCGCCGGTCACCAGTGGCCCCACCCCGTCGCCAGGGATCAGCGTCACCGCACGAGGAGAACCGTCGCCCGGCCGGTGCATGTAGGTCACCGATCGGGTCGGGGACAGGTTGAACCGGGTTTGGGATTGGGATTCGGATCTCGACAGGAGTTGTTTGAGGAGCGGTGCGGATCTTCTCGCCATGGGTTTGGGTGGGTGCGTGCGTTTCTAGGGTTTTCAAAATCGTGGAAATTGGTTACTGTGTTGTGATTGTGCGAGATGCGACCATGGAAGGCGATTGATTGACGAGGAATAACTTAATAACGAAAGAAGAAAAGTCCACCACAATACGGGATGATTGGAACGACCGAAATTGTAGTGGCTAGTAAGAATTTCACTTATTTTTTAACTTGATTATTGTATTTTATTGGTAATAATAAAAAAAAAATCGTATAATATTTGGGAATAATAATTAAGGAAATGCATTTGTACTTACATAATTTTATGGATTCATTTAGTTACGCATGACAATCTTTCCGGAATTATTCTTTTTTTTTTAATTTCGGCTCCCAGCAGAAACGAATAGAAATCTCGTTTGGTAAAATCGATTTATTTTTTTGTTACCGGAATGAACCGGTTTATTTTTTATGTTGGGAAATAGAAAAAAGAATCAAAAAATTTATGTCTGTCGGTAATCGATCACCGCAAGAATGGTAATAGATTACCACTGTGCAAATTTTAAAAATGAGGGATTTTATAACCTAGAGTTAATGGTAGTGTTCAGAGGGGTTATAATAAATAAGTTTTATGCTTCCACGAGTTTCGCATTTACAATTATGGTGTTGTTTTTAATTGATTACGGAAATGGTTAATGTTTAAAGATAAGGATGTAACAAAAAGAAAATGTTTACCCGTAATTTAATTAACTCAATTAATGTGATTGTAACTGTCTTTAATATCATATGCAATGATAACATTACCGGTACGTAATGGGCTGTTACATTTTATGGTATCAGAGCAGTTTCTTAGGGAACTCTGATTATGTATGATTGTGTTTTGTGTTGCATAGCTACATGTAGACTCTTTATGATTAATGTATATGTGATTCCTCAGTGTGGGTCTGATCAGCTCATTCCTTTGTGTTGCATGTACAGTTATCATGATGAGGGCTTGTTGTCGCCGTGGGACACGAGGTGCAGATCCTCCACCGCCTGATCCGGTTCTGCAGGCAGAGACGGCTGCTAATAGGACTATGACTGAAAACCTGATGAAGAATAATTAGGATATGCTGCAGGCCTTCATGACTGAGATGAGGGCTGAGAAAGCTTAGCATCGGAGGGATGATTCTCCTCCGCGTACGGCTACAGTGACACCTACACCTACGCCCTCAGTTACACCCCGCAAGGGGAGAGTGGGGCTAGTCATCATACTGGCGAGGCTGACTGCTGATCCTATATATGCTGCTCAATCTTCTGGGGCTACTGAGCAGGTTAGTGATGATGCTGCGGATGAGCAGAGACTCATCTCGTTTCGGAAACATAAGCCGCCAGCATTTCTGGGGTCAAAGGACCCGAAGGAGGTTACTACCTGGCTTATGGGGATGGATAAGATATTCCAGGTGATGAGGTGCCAGGATCCTCAGAAGTTGTTGTATTCGGTGTATATGCTGGAGGGAGATGCACACGAATGGTGGTGCAACGTATCTCGCCTTTTTATTATTCAGGGTGAGGAGCTGTCATGGGCCTTGTTTGAGGGCTTGTTTCATGAAGAATATTTTTCCCGAGACATCAGGGAGGCAAAACAAGGAGAGTTTGATAAACTTATACATGGGTCGATGAACGTGGATGCTTACTTGGCTAAATTCAATGAGTTGGTCAAATTTGCCAATTATGGGGGTACTCTGCCTACGCCCGAATTCTTATCTGCTAAGTTTCAAAGGGGGCTGAGTGAGAAGATTGCAAAAAGGATGTCAAATACGGCAGTGAGAAATTTTGCTGATCTTGTGACCCAATGTAAGAGGCGAGCCTGTTTATGGTAGATATTTCAAGTCTAATTCTGCTAAAGAGCAAGAGATGAAGAAGAACAATAATCCTCCTGGTTCTAATTACAGAGGTGGTCATAATAATAATAATAATAACAGAGGTAGGGAGTTGCAAGTAAGGCAGCCTCCTGGTTAATTTAAGAGTGATGGTGCCCCTAGTGGTGGAGCTGTTGATAGATACTATACCCCACAATGTGGTAAGTGAAAGAAATACCACAAAGGTGTATGTGGTGCGGCCCCGAGGGCGTGTTTCAAGTGTGGTCAAACTGGCCACTTTGCTAGGAGTTGTACATCTACTGCTGGGCAGACTGCGAATCTGCAGGCCTGGCCATCTTATGCTCCTACTACGGGACAAGCTGTGAATCTGCAGGCCTTACCGACTACTGCTACTATTGCTGCTGTTATTCTTACAGTTGGACGAGTGTATACTACAAATGTGCAGTATACAGAAAAGGCACCGAATCTGGTCAAAGGTATAATTTTCATCTCTAATATTGATTTGTCTGTTGTTTGATTCGGGAGCGACACCTTCGTTCATGGCGGAATATGTGGCCATGGGGTTGAACTTGAGTGTAACACGGATGATTCACCCCATGCATATTACTATTGCTACAGAAGATGTTAGTGATTCCTTCTTTATTTGTAGAGATGTTGAGTTTGTCTATGAAGGCAGGGGCTACACTATTGGTTTGATTATCTTGCCCATGGCCTCTGTCAATATGATTTTGGGTTTGGACTGGTTGTCTCAAAACTGTGCAATGATTGATTGTTGCGGAAAGAGGTTGATTTTATCTCCTGAGAGGTCCGCTAGTTGTCTGTCTCCTTATCTGTCTGTCTGTCAAACTATTAAAGCCTTGAAGGCTGGCGATCTGGGTTATGTATTCTTGGGTGGATTGGTTGGTGATAAGGAAGAAGATATTTCAAGTATTCCGGTGGTTAATGAATTTCCTGACGTATTTTCTGATGAGATATCGGAATTTCTACCTGAGAGAGAGATTGAATTCTCTATTGATTTGTTGCATGGCATGGAGCCTATCTCTTTGGCTCTATACCGGATGTCGCCGCTGGAGTTTGCAGAGTTGGGGAAACACATTGAAGATCTATTTGCAAAGAATTTTATCAGACCGAGTGTGTCTCAATGGGGAGCACCGGTAACATTTGTGAAAAAGAAGGATGATAGTATGAGAATATGCACTGACTACTGACAGCCGAATAAGGTTACGATTAAGAACAGGTACCCATTGCCTCGTATTGATGATTTGCTGGATCAGTTGAGGGGTGCCTATGTATTTTCTAAGATTGATCTCCTGTCTGGATACCACCAGATCCGGATTAAGCAGGAGGTGTGCCTAAAACGACGTTCTAATCCAGATACGGACACTTTGAGTATCAAGTGATTCCTTTTGGGCTTACTAATGCCCCTACGGTGTTCATGGATTATATGAATCACATCTTTAAACCCTATCTGGATCAGTTTGTTATTGTGTTCATCGATGATATTCTGATTTATTCCAAGAGTGAAGAGGATCACACGGATCACCTGAGGATGGTGTTACAAGTGTTGAAAGATAGAAAGCTATATGTTAAGCCATCTAAATGTGAAATCTGGCTGTCTGAGGTACAATTTCTGGGTCATGTGATTTCTGCTAGCGGTGTTGTTGTGGATCCAAGTAAGATTGAAGCGGTAAGTGACTGAGAATGACCTAAGACTGTGACTGAGATCAGAAGCTTTATGGGTCTTGCTAGTTATTATCGCAGGTTTATAGAGGGGTTTTCTGCTATGGTATTGTTGTTGAGCCGATTGACACGAAAGGATACTCCTTTTGTGTGGACCCAGGAATGTGAGGACTGTTTTCTGACTTTGAAAGAGAAATTGACTACTGCTTCTGTGTTGACACTTCCCAATCTGGAAGGTGAGTTTGAATTATACTGTGATGCTTCCAAGAAAGGTTTGGGGAGTGTTTTGATGCAAGAAAGGAGAGTGGTTGCTTATGCGTCTAGGCAGTTGAAGCCTAATGATGAAAATTATCTGACGCATGACTTGGAGCTTGCTGCTATTGTATTTGCCTTGAAAATCTGGAGGCATTTTCTGTATGGGGTAAAATTTGTTGTGTTCAGTAATCACAAAAGCTTGAAATACTTATTTGATCATAAAGAGCTGAACATGAGACAGTGAAGATGGGTTAAATTCTTAAAAGATTATGATTTTGAGCTGAAATACCATCTGGGTAAAGCTAATGTGGTGACAGATGCTTTGAGTAGGAAGTCTGTTAATTTGTCTTATATGATGATGTGGGATAATGAAGTGATTGAGCAATTCAGAGATTTAAAAATAACAGATTTCTTTGCAGGTAGGATTTGTGATATTGAGTTGACACGGATTGAGAATGAGTTGCATGAGAAAATTAAAGAAACTCAGATATGGAATGACAATATCAAATACTTGAAAGGCCAGAGTGGCATATCTGTGAATGAACAGGAATTATTGTTATATCAGGGCAGGATTATTGTGCCCAAGGAGCTAGCAGAGGAAGTTATGGTTGAGGCCCATAAGGGTTAGTATGTTATTCACCCTGGTGCCAAAAAAATGTATCAAGATCTGAAAGTTAAGTTTTGGTGGCCTGGGATGAAAAATGATGTTGCAGAGTATGTATCAAGGTGTTTATTTTGTTACAAAGTGAAGATAGAACATCAGAAACCTGTTGGTTTACTTCAGCCAATGAATATACCAGAGTGGAAATAGGAGAGCATCTCTATGGATTTTGTTGTTGGTTTGCCTCAGACTCAGGCTTAATACGATTCAATTTGGGTTATTGATAGACTTATGAAGTCTGCACATTTTTTGCCAGTACGAGTGGATTTCTCTATGGAGAAATTAGCAAAACTCTATGTAAATGAAATTGTAAGGCTCCACGGGATTCCAGTTAGTATTGTAAGTGATTGGGACCCGAAGTTTACTTTACGCTTTTGGGGAGCCTTGCAGCAGGCTATTGGCATTCAGCTCAGGCTGAGCACTGCGTATCACCTGCAGACTTATGGTCAGGCTGAGAGGACCATATAGACACTTGAGAATATGCTGAGAGCTTGCACACTGGAGCATGGTACTGAATGGGACAAATACTTGTCATTGGTAGAATTCTCGTATAACAACAGTTTTCACTCCAGTCTGGGCATGGCACCGTATGAGGCATTGTATGGACGGAGATGTCGTACTCCTACTTGTTGGACTGAGGTAGGTGATAAAGAAAGATTTGGTCCAAATTTTGTGCAGGAGACTACAGTGCAAATTGAAATGATCAGAGAAAAA